GGTGGGCTGGCAAAATTCTATACAACCACTACAATTGCTTTTTCCGATAGCTGTAAATAGTAGTTGTGTTCTGACGACCTTCCCCACCCCACCCTCTTCTCGGCTCGACGGAAAATTTTTTGGGGAGAAAGTAGGACATTTTCGAGAAATTTCCGGGAAAAAGCTGGTAGGAGGCTGTCGACATGTAGGGAAGCGGTAAGTAGGTGTTGAGGGAGGTCGTACCGAGAACCCCTTTCAGGGGGAGGGTCTTACTGACACGACCATTTCACACATCACGATGCTGTACCCTGTTCACGGCGGGGGCAGCTCTTTCTAACACCCGCCATTTCACATATACCACGACGCTGTTCACTTCACGAAACACTGTACACTCGGAATCCCTGAGATGTGGTAGGCGTGGCTGCGTACTTCAACTAAACGTGGCGGTGGCTGTGCTTTTGGAGAGATATTTTCATTTTGACACAATTGTGGTCATGTCTCTGTCCAACACAGAAACAATATGACAGTTTTCCGAACTGAAATAGCCCTCGAATTATCTATTCGGTGCCATGTTCAAATGCCACGCCCACTTCGTTTCAGGGATAAGTAGTATACCCTTCGGCTTTGCAAATTCCTTCAGCAGCATTAGGATACGATAGACGTTTAGGGATGGATCACTAGGAGCTTCTAGCTGTACTTTCACCTGATACCGACAGAGTTCATCGGTCGAGAAAGGCTCTTTGGAGAGGACGTTATAATATAAAACAAGTAGGAAAAGCGACGCAGAGATAAACCAAAATACTGCCCGTACTGCCTTTCGAACATTCAATGAGATCAATCAAAAGTACTTTTTGATGACATGACCGCTTCCAAGTGGAGATCTTACAAGCAATTGGTCTGATAAAACACCCTCTACGACTTACCGGCCATGTTCTTATCAGCATGGTCGGCAACATAGGAACGCAGTTTGGCTGCTGCATATTATATTTGATTCACATAGTAAGTCTTCCTTTAAATAAATTTTTGAGCGTATTTCAATCGTTTTTTTTCGATTATTTTACGGTAACTGCCCTTAAGAGAAAGTTGCCAATAAATGGATTTGAGTGTATAGTTGCAGTAGTGATTGCCAGCTGTTGTCCACAATCGCTGGCTATCTCTCAGGCCATATAGGAATTCGCTGCAAGCAAAGTAGGTTTGCATTACTAAGTTAGATTTGTTTTCATTGACAGAAGGTTTCATGTTGCTGCCCCGAACTCTGGATGAAGACAAGCAAATGGCATTAGTCTACATTTGAAATCACTGATCGCAGCGAGGTTTAAAAGGCAGTTTAGTGGCACGAAATGATTGGTGCTGCTAAATGCTAGTAGGCGGCGCTATATAGTGGGGATTTAGCGAAAGAACGGGAGTGAAACGCTCAAAATCCCGTGAAGAAAGATACTACTCCTGCTGCTCATGTGTTTGAAAATCAAATATTGGACGAAGGTTTCCGCAGGCATCTTGCCAATAACCGGCTATCGAAGTACGCTGAATACAGTTTAATATCATTGGCAAACTTGTTTCGATCGCCATCAGCTTTTCCACTAATTGCGCTCCACCAGTGGTGATTGCCTCGACATGAAATCGATCCTTTACCCGAATCTGGCCATCTTTCGTAGAAGCAAGGCAGCTCGGACCGCACCGCTCACGCCCGGTCCCGACAGTCCGCACTGATGAGCAGTGTATGTGTACTAATATATCCATGCAGCATTACGGCCGCTTCATACCAATCCCTTCGCTTCATAATTTGCTTAGCAAATGAATCGATTAGAGCGTCAGGAACGGTCGTCCATTTGTGGGCGGGCGGACGTTTGGATCGGAATGTTGTGGCTTAATAGGGCCCTTATAAGGGCACCTTTCTTGGGATAGGCGCAGCGCCTGCTCAGGGCCGCGGATTCCGTCCTGGCAGGCGTATTAATCCTACTCGTCTTGGGGGATTTATCTGCCAACTGCCTTCAACGCCGCATTCTTTATGCTGGGTGACAGGCTGGGTGCAAATGTAGTCACATCTGAACGCTATTGTGCACCCAAAAAGAGGACCCTCACCCTTGAGTCCCTTTTCGAAGCGCACTGCTGAGTGCGGCGCTCAATAAGCCGGTCGTGCCGGAGGCAATCATTCTTTAGTCCATAGCTTCATTCATCTAAAAATTCCTGACCAACAACTAGTTTGACTTCACCATATTGGTTTATGGGGGATCAATCTCTCTCCTTACCCTTCGGCTTTGCAAATTCCTTCAGCAGCATTAGGATACGATAGACGTTTAGGGATGGATCACTAGGAGCTTCTAGCTGTACTTTCACCTGATACCGACAGAGTTCATCGGTCGAGAAAGGCTCTTTGGAGAGGACGTTATAATATAAAACAAGTAGGAAAAGCGACGCAGAGATAAACCAAAATACTGCCCGTACTGCCTTTCGAACATTCAATGAGATCAATCAAAAAGTACTTTTTGATGACATGACCGCTTCCAAGTGGAGATCTTACAAGCAATTGGTCTGATAAAACACCCTCTACGACTTACCGGCCATGTTCTTATCAGCATGGTCGGCAACATAGGAACGCAGTTTGGCTGCTGCATATTATATTTGATTCACATAGTAAGTCTTCCTTTAAATAAATTTTTGAGCGTATTTCAATCGTTTTTTTCGATTATTTTACGGTAACTGCCTTAAGAGAAAGTGCAATAAATGGATTTGAGGTATTTCGTAGTGATGCCACTGTTGTCACAAATCCTGGCTATCCTCAGCCATATAGGAATTCGCTCACAAAGTAGGTTTGCATTACTAAGTTAGATTTGTTTTCATTGAGAGAAGGTTTCATGTTGCTGCCCCGAACTCTGGATGAAGACAAGCAAATGGCATTAGTCTACATTTGAAATCACTGATCGCAGCGAGTTTAAAGGCAGTTGGCACGATGATTTGGTGCCTAAAATGCTAGTAGGGCGCTATATAGTGGGGAAATGGCGAAAGAACGGAGTGAAACGGTCAAAATCCTGCGAAGAAAGAGCCTCCGTTCTCAATGTGTTCAAAATCAATTTTGGACGAGTTTCCCGTAGGCATCTTGCCAATAACCGCTACCGAAGGTACGGCTGCATACAGTTTATATCATTGCAACTGTCGGGTCGCAATCAGCGGTTCCCACTTCGGCGCTTCCACCAGTGGTTGATTTCCTCCTGAATCGATCTTTACCCGATCGCCATTGGTAGAGCAAGGCAGCTCGAGCCGCGCCGCTCACGCCCGGCCCCGACAGTCCGCATGATGAGCAGTGTATGTGTACTCATATATCCATGCAGCATCACGGCCGCTTCATACCAATCCCTTCGCTTCATAATTTGCTTAGCAAATGAATCGATTAGAGCGTCAGGAACGGTCGTCCATTTGTGGGCGGGCGGGCGTTTGGGTCGGAATGTTGTGGCTTGATAGGGCCCTTATAAGGGCACCTTCCTTGGGAAAGGCGCAGCGCCTGCTCAGGGTCGCGGAATTCCGTCCTGCCAGGCGTATTAATCCTACTCGTCTTGGGGGATTTATCGTGCCAACTGCCTTCAACGCCGCATTCTTTATGCTGGGTGACAGGCTGGGTGCAAATGTAGTCACATCTGAAAGGACGCTATTGTGCACCCAAAAAGAGGACCCTCACCCTTGAGTCCCTTTTCGAAGCGCACTGCTGAGTGCGGCGCTCAATAAGCCGGTCGTGCCGGAGGCAATCATTCTTTAGTCCATAGCTTCATTCATTCTAGAAATTCCTGACCAACAACTAGTTTGACTTCACCATATTGGTTATGGGGGATCAAAGGGGTGGGCGGAGCTCGAATATTGTTGGAGATGTCTAGATTATTGACGAACGAATGTGGTAGATTTGAATACTTGTTGTTAGCTAATTGTAAGTAGCTCCAGCATCAAATGACACAGTTTTAAGCCTTGATCCATCCTTGTTTGGGGTACGCCATGCACTCCCACTTCCTCTGATATTAATGGTGCCGATTCCGTATGCATCAATCTACATTCATGGCTTGCACGTCGCGCGCCCTGTGAATGCCATTTTTGAATTGTTTCTATTATTATGACTGCTGTTAATGCTGCAGTTTGCGCTCTGAAAGCGTATAAGAATACTGACTATGGCCAAAAGGCTTGACCCCAGGCGGGACTCGAACCCGCCCTCCACTTCGTTCAGGGTGAGTATGCTATCCGTTCCACCAACGCGGCTTTTAACCCCTCACGTATGCGCTCCCACACAAATGGTTGTTCTGGCCACTAACTTTTCGACTTCCAGCGAGATGAGAATTCGATGGGTGAGTAGAAAGCCGATCTAAGATTTGAACCATGAAGCACGGTGGCACACAAAGTGGTCTCAGTTTGACACGGGCATTTCCAGCAGAAAATGGTGCTGTGATGAACACTGGCTGACTACCATCCAATAACTGATTACATTACTTTCCGGTATCGCTTTACTGAGGCGGGGCCGATAACAAGGAGTAGCAGTGTTTTTCTATCAATTCCTTGCCAATCAAGGTGATTGTGTCACGGTATGTGACGTAAATGCAACATGTCAAGGGTATGTATTTAATGAGAGAACTGTAAGAACTGTTTAAAAATTTATCCTGAATCAGCTGGTCTTTACAGGTTTCAGTCGGGCGCGATGGACCTGCGTGAAAAATTAAGAAAGCCTGGTCGTCAACTCGACAGCGACAATAACGATGCAGTCGATATCTAAACCCGATGGCTACTATCATTCTGGAATTTATTTCAAAACAGTTTTGTTTGGTAATTGGTTCTTTTTTACTCATGGGATACTGGGCACAGGGTACAGGTACAGGTTACCAGAAATAAGGAAAATGTATAGAAAAAAGCAAAAGAATAAGGACAAAATGAAGAAAAATAATGCCCGTACAACCTACAATTATTTGGACTAACTCATCGTTCAGTGATGGAGCCTGACGAGTAGAAAAAAAGTAGAATTTTGCAGCTGAATACCATCGAAATTGTCGACTGTCCAGGGCAACTGTCACCTAGAAGGCGCCTGGCACCATAGAAAACGTGCGTAAAGGATGCTTGGAACAGCAGGAGATTTGATAGTTGCCCCGTGGCGACATACAGCAGGAAATGCAGCCGCTGTTGCGCCAAAATTCACTGCCCCTCAGCGCCCCGACTGACCGCTATGATAAGGACTGGACATCCTTGGAATGATGATGTCAGTACAAGCGACATAAAAAAGCGATCCAAAAACCCGTCCAGTAGATTTCAATTCCTGTACCCTGGATGTCGGGTTCGTTAGTGTCCCACTGCGTAGTTAATGATTGGAGAGCAATTTGAGTTTCTCTCAGATTCTCAAGAAATATTTGTTAGCCGAAAATATTTGATGTTGAATCAATTACTTGCAGATCTCAACAAGAGAGCTTACTTCCAATGTAATTCAACTGTTCAACTCGAAAACGATGTTCCATTCTTCCTGGTTTCCCAGAATTATCCCTATTCACCGTTCGATTACTCCTATTGTACCATAACATTCAACAGTGCAAATGCGATCCGGGCAGCCATTTACGACTTGGTCACTGTAGGCCCGGTAACCTTCGAAGGGCCGGACTTATTGGGAGGAAACAGCAAAAATTTCGCTCAGGTTAGTCTTGTGAATGTTACTTCAGCGCTTACTATTCAATTATTCGAAATAGGAATGGAGTATGCTGGAGATGTCTTGAAATCTGATGCGGATCGCTACTGCTACACGCCTTTAGCTTCCGTTATACTAGTAATGGGGCTACCGCTAGCGGAGGGTACGTGGGTGACTGTTGCCGGTGGTGTCACTGGTGTGATCGGTCAAATAAAAGCAGTGGATTGGGGTTTGAAAGGAGCAGGAGTTCTCTACAATTTAGTGCAACCACGGGAACAGCTACTTTCCCTGCAGAAGCTGGGTGGTGCGTATCAGGGGGAGCCGGGTTTGGTGCGGGCCAGCTTCATTCCAACCGTTTTCGCTTTTCGCTAGTTCGCTTCAATTATTTGTGGGAAACGGGCTGGCATCGCGCCGAAGCCTCCCCCTGACACCCCCCACTCCCTGCTGTAAAAACGACAACATCAACTAATTCTTTAACGAGTTGCAATCGCTAGCTTCCGCACAAGTTCGTTCCCCTCCCAGCTTTTTTACGAGGTATTGCGTGCATATTTTTATGAAAGAAAGCGGATGATGAGAAATCTCAGTTGGATCCACTCCGCTAGGAATCAGACCAAATGACACGCGGTTCAATTGTTTTCTTACCCTTATAATTATCTTCGGAAGAAACCTTTACGCATCCATTTCAGTGGGCGACATGTTACCGATGATGAACCGGTGGCATTGTACTTTAAGAAATCGATGACGGTGTCATTTTCGTTTCGCAATGTGTCAGTGTTCTACACGAGAGGATTCTATATCCTCGTGGATAGCTATACTCGTAAGTATGAGATAATTTTTGAGTCCTTAGAGGAACGTCATTGCCTTAAGGGGACTCTCCGCGCTGTTCGTATGGGCGGGGCGCGCCTAATACTACGTCTTCCTCGTTTTTGCACCGTGCACTTTCTCTTTATAGCTGCATAAGCCCCACTCTCGGCTGCAAAAGCGACAACATCAATAATTCTTTGACGACGTGCAACCGCTCGCTTCAGCACAAGTTCGGCTGCTTCCCTCCTAGCAGCCGAACTTCTTCTCTTTATAGCTACGGAAGCTCGCAGGGCACAATAGATAAATAGATAGGTTGCAATGGTAAGCCTGTCTCCGCCCATACGGCAAGTGTGAATTGTTCGTCGAGG